ACCTTTTTCCTGTTGGGTTATTTCCTTTTCTATTGGCCGCATCCCCTTACCCTCAGTGGTCCACCAGAGCCATTCACAAATTGAGAACATTAGGATTGGACCCGAACCAACTTCTGGAAAGTGGATACGATAGGGCAAAAAATATCGTTCACCAACGTCTCAGAGATATTGAGCAGCAAACATCCTATGCTGTACTTTCGCCTCTTTACAAATCTTTGAAACCCAAAATTTATATGACTGCTCCTTTATATTTAGCCAATATTCCCAACCCAAATCATAGATGGGCTTTTTCCAGAGCTAGATTTGACACTTTTCCATCGGCAGTTCTTGCCGGAAGATTTCAACGCATCCCTAGGCATTTGAGATTATGCTCATGCCCCTCCGAGTCAATTGAGACCCTTTTCCATATATTATTCCAGTGTTCCTACTATGCAGAAGAAAGAGCCCTTTTAATTACACCTATAATAAGGTCATTCAGACACCAAGGACAATTAGTAATCCACTCTGAGGAACTTTTGCTGAAACATCTATTGGAGGACAAATCCATTGCAATATCAAGGAATGTTGCCAAATTTCTCTTTATTGCATTTACAAAGCGTAAGCTCCTCCTCAATGTTCCTCATGATATCTCTTCTCTGTAATGCTTTTTGCTTTTGTTCTGTATGCTATTCTATGGGTCTCTGACCGTAATAAAATGAATGAATGAATGCCTTCAAGTTCTACAGAACTCTTTCTCATGGTACAAAATTTTAAAAAGCATTGGGGAGAGATGATGTTTCAGGCCATCACCTTAAAGGCCTTTTGGCACCTATGTGCTCAGTGCTGGGGAACAAGTATAGATCGGTGATTTTCATTTCATGTTGCACTCTAGTTCCTCTGAGCAAAAAAACCCAAACAGGGTCTTCTCCACTGGGTCTTCTCCACTGGATTTGCTTCCCACAGCCTGGGGAAGCTAGGCATTAGACTTCACCCAAGACAGCTGTCATGGTGATCGCATTCAGCACATCTGTTTCTGAAGCTTGAAGACGGTGAGGCTTTTAGTTGGGGAATGGTAGGGGGGTATTTATCCTCAGCCTTTCTCCTGCAAAAGGTATTCAAGCAACTTGTGGTACATACAAATACAAACTTCCCAATATATGAAATCAGTCAATTATACCACAATTTTGTCCTAATAAAACCAGTAGTGGCATACTGTTTATTTAAAATATGTCCTACATTTATCTCCCTAAACACCAGCCCCATAGCCAGAAATTCTTTTTTGGGTGGTACTTGGGCAGGGGTGCCAATTAAATTAAAGTGAATTTACGGAAATCAAATTAAAATGGCAAAATTAAGCAGGCGCAGTGGAAGGGAGGGAGAGTAGTAGTTCCTTACCCAGTTGATTCTCTCTAACCTTCCTTCCTTCTGCTCCTATTCTTCCCGTAGTGTGTGTCTTGCTTGGCCCTGCGTGTGCAGAGGGAGAAGCCCTGGGAAGCCACTTCCCAGCACCGGCTCTGCCTCTTAAAGAAGCCCTCAGCTGGTGCGGCTGCTTTCCCAGGAGATGTGCATCCTTGCCCACTCTGCACACTCTCAGGAGCATGCTAGCGGTGTGCACGTTCCAGGGCACAGCCCTGCTGCTGCACCTCTGCACTGGCCCTAGTCCCTGGCGGGACCCAAAAGCTAACCAGTTGGATGAAGCTGACTTCTTTTGGAAGGATGATTAGTCATGTATGCTTCGGGCTGCTGCGGTGGCAGCGCAGCTGAAGAAATACTGCCAAAATTCAAAAATTAAAGGGGGAGATTGGGGAGACTGAGTTGGGGTGGTGCAAATCCGATAGGGGGCACTGCCCTGTATGCCCAACCGCTGGCTACAGCCCTACTAAACTCAAAGACTGTTGACCAACCAACAAGTTATCAACAAAATGCAACCTCTCAAAGAAATACAAGGTTAAAAATATTAAACCTCAGTGCCAGCAGGTATTATTGCAGAGGCAATCCATAACTTGGTTATGTACAACAAGGAGAGGGGGCCTGCCCTTCCTCTCGGGGAAAGGGGGTCAACACTATCTTCTCCTAAGCTGGATCCCATGACAGCCGTCTAAGCCTTCCCTTCAGGAGAGAAAGACTTCTCTTGGTGGAGAAAATTAGTGTTAAGAGAAATTCTCTTAATTCCTCTTCACCCAATTTCTCCCTGAAATCTAATGATCCATTTCCCACTCTTTTTATGAATTTGGAATCAGTTTCTAACCAATTCTGTTCTCAGAGAAATTCAAAGAAAGTAGGAGCAGGAAGGGAGAGTCTACAAAATATGAGAATTTCATTCTGTAGATATTCAGAGGTGAATACTTCTACACTGCTAGAGCCCCATCCTGTAATGTGTAACATAAAATAACTGCAAGGGCTAAAGTTACAAAAGAGTGCATTAATTCTTCTACAAAGAGAAATTAAAGAAATTCCTCTTTTAAAAGAGAAAAAAAATAAGAGAATCAATGGCTATGTACAGAAAACTGAATTTCAGAAAGAGAAATGCCTCTCCTCATAATGATGCTAGAGAAGGAGACCATTATCCATTGGTGGAAGGGAGTCACAGAAACCAAGCCAAAGGGTTCCAGGGTGAGAGAGCAGTTGAAACAAATGCAGGCCAGATCCCTCAGTAAGGAGTCATTAGTTTACTGGTCTCAAACAGGTTCAAATGATGGAAGATGCTCCTTCAGGAAATTTGGCTCGTTGGGTCACATTAATGGAACCCAGTACATCTCTCTACTAAAATGCTGGATGGGCACCTTCTGTCTATGCCAAATCATCCAGCATCTGTTTTCTTCACCAGCACTTTCCCTGAATAACAGTAATGGTAAAAATACTCCAAGGAAACAGACCTTCTCCATGGAACGCAGCCTTGCCTATTTCTAGCGCTTGAGGCTGGCTTCTTTCCCATAAAAGTGAGGGTCAGCTAGCCCTGTGTGTACATTGTATGAGAAAAGGTAGAATTCTGCCCCAAGAAAGCTGCAACTGGAAAAAACTGAACCCTGTTATTTTACACAGTGCATCCTGGATTTGCTCCTTGGAGGAACTGCATCGTGCAGTGTCAAACGATGGTAAGTTTGCGATAGTTACAGGGGGCAGGGAAATTCCTGAGGGG